TGGGTGTTTGGGGCAGGGGCTGTGCTCAGCTTTCACCCCTCGGGTGCCTCGGGATAACCTCGTGCAGCTCTGTGCTTCAGGACCGGATCGACAGGGCATCCGGATCCCTATTCAACAGCCTCCAAATGGGCTTAAGCATGAGTTAAGAGTGCTTTCCACTGCCTGAAGGGTGGATGTTAAAGCTGAGTGCCTGGGCTATCCATCCTGCCCGTTTTCCTTAGCTGCGGGGAGTCCTTATTTCTACTTCCTGATGGCTAGTTTGGGTTTGTGTATCCTGTGAGCTGGTGACTTACTTCACGCACGTTTTCCCAGGGAGGAGAGGGCAGCAATGGCACAATGCATAGCACTTGAGGCCAGGTACAAGGAAAGCTCCTACTTGGCTTGTCTTGTGTTAGTTATCATAGAATCATGGAATCAGCTGGGTTGGAAAAGACGTCAAGGATCATCGAGTCTAACCTTACCATCGTTCCTAGGCTATGGCACTAAGTGCCACATCCAGTCTCATCTTGAAAAGCTCCAGGGATGGTGAATCCACCACCTCTCCAGGCAGCCCATTCCAATGCCTGATCACTCTCTCTGTAAAAAATCTCTTCCTAATATCCAACCTAAACCTCCCCTGGCAGAGCTTGAGTCTATGCCCTCTTGTCCTACTGCTGGTTGCCTGGGAGAAGAGACTAACCCTCACCTGACTACAACCTCCTTTCACATATTATGTCCCATAATAAGGATTGCAGTGGTGGTAGTAGCTAAGGTGACCTACAGCTGAGGTCTGCCCTAGCTTAATTGCAGGAAAGCTGGAAAACAACTCAAGAAATTACTATTATACAATAGTAGGTTGTTGCAAACATTTCTGGGAGCCTAAAATGTGTCCCTGGATCTGGTACTTACATATTTAAAAGAGTGGCTGGAGTTGACAATCAAGGTGTCTTTGAGGAATGCAAAGTAGCAGCTTAGTTATCAGTTCAGGTTCCTTGTACAGGCCTTTGTAACAACTTTGGGCATTTTGGTGTGTTTCTGATTATGGTTTAATTAAAGGAATTTCTGTAACAGTGATGTCTCTGCTTGCCAGGAGGGTAAGCCAGCTGCTGCTGAAAGCTGCTGTGCATTTTCTGTAAGGCAGATGTTTGGGAAAACCTCTTCTGGACAGGACTTATTCAGTAGCTTTGATGTGTAACTGTGTATAGAGTGTATTGGATGACAGTGTAAGTATAACAAATTACTCTTATTCCCAGGCATTAAGCTTCGTCCCTATCAAATAGAAGGTGTTAACTGGCTGGTGCAGTGCTATGAAGTCCAGCATGGCTGTATCCTGGGTGATGAGATGGGTCTTGGGAAGACTTGTCAGGTATGTCTTCTTCTCCTGGAAAATGATCTTTGCCTAACTTTTGTTTTAGCCCAGTGTTTCTGCACAGTGAAAAAGGAAATGCACCCTAATGACTGGTCAGTTAAGCAGCTCCGTTCTGATTCCCATATTCAAACCAGAGAGCTCATTGTCTCTTTCATTCCTTAACCACATAAAACAAGTCCTGAGTTAAGTCCTGAGTAACACTCTAAACAGGTTTGGGGGTTTTATAAAAAGATGAGTGGTCATTTTATACAAACAGTGCATAATTCATAGTGTGTAAAGTCAAAGGCACAATACACATCCAGTACAGACAGAGTGATACCCTTTTGATGCACCTGCATCAAGATGATTTTTGAGTTTGTCAACACATAGATTAAAATTTATAGGTTTAATTTGTTTCAAAGGTTTGTTGGATTTTTAAAATAAGTGTTTCAGTGGGTTTACATTTTGTGGGAAAGTGACTGTGCTTTGTTTCAGCTGGTTTTATTCAATAGGTCTTACATAACAAACTGTTAGTTTAAGAAAGTGATGCATGGTACATCTTCTGTTTTGTGACTGTGGGAGAGAGGCCTTTGGAAAGGGGCTCCATATGTTGAGGTCATGTTTTGGGATCTAAGCCTTTTTGTCATTGATTGTGGATCCCACTTGATATTTTATTAACTCTGCTTTGTACCAGAGAACCTGTGGGAAGTAGCTGCGAAGCTCAACAAGGAGCTTTGTAGATTCAGTCTTAGGTAGATTCAGGCTATTGTGTTGAATCCTTCTGTTGTTTTACAAAAAAATATTTTCCTTGCCTTTCAGACTATTTCCCTACTTCTTTATTTGACAAAAAAATTAACCAACAAAGAGAGATTTCTGATACTTTGTCCTCTGTCTGTTCTGAGCAACTGGAAGGAGGAACTGGAGAGGTAAGTTTCAGTAGTTGTCTGGTTCATTATATTCTTGTACAGCAAGTTACAAAGATTGCCTTCAAATGTCCTCACTCCAAAACTTTCTTTTTATCCTTTCAAAGGGATAAAAAGTAAAGAGGGAAGCTACTAAATCAACAAGTCAATGCCAACTATGCAGATAGTGCATAGTCTTTACAATGCTGTGGTTTATGTGAATTCATCCATCTTGTAGTGTCGGCTGACTTTCAGTCCAAATGCCTCTGCTAGCTCCTTGCTTTTTATTGATTTGTAACCCTCCATGCTCAGCCCCTCTTAGACAAACTCTGCTGAAGATGGCCAGGATTCTGTGTGATGAAAGGTAAGACCCAAGTTGGGGGCATGCTCACCTATGCATGCAACATGCATTACATCTGTGCATGCAACTCATCTTCACTGAGGTGCAGTGGCTGTGCTCATGGCACATCTGCTGTGCCTGGAATATGTGCATTTTCAGTCTGGAGCCCAGTGATTCCTTTTGAGAGGGAGGGCAGAAAGTTAAAGATTAGAACGGAAGTCTACGTGGCCATTGGACAATGCTGTCTCTCAGCATCTGAAGTCATCCAGGTTACATTCTGAAGTGAGCTGGCCTGATTTGGATAGGCTTGTGGTTGGAATAGTTGGGGGGAAGTGCATCCCTTTATAGATAGCAGTGAACAGCTATCCAGAAGGAATATGAGGAGGTGTCCCTGCCTGTGGCAGGGGGAGTTGGGACTAGATGGTCTGTAAGGTCCATTCCAACCCTAAAAATCTATGATTATATAATATGAGGTAAATAACAGTGGTGGGTTTAAATGAGGAAGAATTTTGTGGTCCCAACTCTTTCTTCATGAAACTGAGTTTATCTGCTTTTTGACTAAGAGAATGTATTTTGAGGCCCTTACTTGGATCTGTTTGCTGCAGACACTGTTTGCCTTTATTTTAGCATGATTTAGGCCAATTCTTTGGTCAGCTGGGAAAACTGTGTTAATTCACCTGCTTCTCAGGAGCTATTTTCAATTCAGGTGGGCCATGAGACTGGTTTTCAATTATGTCTTGAGCTCTTAGGCCTAGGAGAATGCAGTTTTATTTGGGCTTTGTCCAAACCAGAACCAGCAGCTGAGGTGCCGATGTGAGATGCAAATAAATCATGAAGGAGTGAGGTTCAAAAGCTGAGATCCAGATACATCTCACAGGAGGGTAGGGTGTTTGAGTAGAAGTTCTCATTACCTCTGCAGTAGCTGTGTTTGATGATGGAGTATAGGATTATAAACACGTGAAAGGACACAGCTTGGCTCACTGGTTTTGCTTTGTCTTTTTCTTAACAACAGGTTTGCTCCAGGTATTTCTTTTGTAACATACATAGGCAACAAAGAGGAGCGACCCAAACTGCAGCAGAACCTGAAAGAACACTCTCACTTCCACGCACTCTTGACAACATATGAGGTATGTGATGTCTTTGTCACTTGAAAGGAGGGCTCAAGTTTTCTTCTCACTTTTACTCTTCCAATTCTCTTCTCCCTTCCCACGGAGTGGCTGTGTGGTGCTAAGTTGACAACTGGTGTTAAACCACCATGTGAAGGTGCCATGTAGGTGTCACATTGTTTTCCTTAGGCAATAAGTGCCTTCATTCCATTCTACTCCATTTCACCATAGCTGGCAAGTAAACAAAAAGATGCTCTGCTTTTTAACTGATGTATTTACTTAAAACACAAATCATGGTTTGTTTTCTTTTGTTGCAGATCTGTCTGAAAGATGCAGCATTTCTAAAATCGTGAGTCTGGTTTTAATTTTTTCAAATCTAAATCTGCACATCTGTCAGTGATTTCTTAAGTGTGTGTTTGTATGTGTGAGTGCCTGTGCTTGTTTCAGAAGAGCCAAGGATATCTTGTGATTAGAGCTTTGTCTTTTCCAACTTTCAGCAAAGAGTCTTTAATGTTAGCTAAGATGTATGTGAACTTTCCCCAAGGACATTTTTCAAGCCAGTTAACTCAAAGTAATATGACACACAGTGACTTACAGAAGTGCACTAAGTATCAGTCCAGAGGACTGGTATTTATAACAGAGCAGATCTTCAAGAGCTTCAGGTTATAAAGGTATCAGTTGCAAAACTCACTGAAATTGAGCTGCATTATACAACCGTGGCAACGGGCTAATGCCATGTCCTGAAGTTTATAGCCTCTTGCCACCAGTCAGAACTGTTGAGGCCTTCTGGAGCATTTTGTTTTCTAGAAATACTGATTATTCAACTTAAATTCGTCCTGTAGGAGATATTGTCATGGTCATGCAGAGTTTTACAGAAGTCTGCACTTGACATAGGGAGAAATTTTCCTGGTTTTAGCAGTAGCACCAATGCCTTGCAATAGTGCTAAGGGCTGTGACAAATGCTGGGGGCAGCCATATATCCTGAATGGCTCAGGATCTTTGTAGCAGCAGAAATCCGGTGGCCCTTACTGACACAATTTTGTGTCAGTCAGGACTAGTCAGGCCTGCAATGGGCACCCTGTTGACTTTCAGCAAAGCACTTGTCCTTGGCCACTGCTGGAAACAGCAGATTGTGCTGGATGAAGACATCGTGGTAGAAGCTAGGCCTAATGAAAGGTAGCCATGACCATATTGTCCTTAGAGATCCATATCATGTTCTGCATTGCTGCATATGATTCTGTAGCCCTGGTATGCAGTACTCAGGGAGAGCAAGTAACTAGCCCTAGTGTCGTGGAAATGTCAGCTCCAGCATAATTTCCTACTTCTAAGGCTAACACATACCATCAAAGCTATGTCACTCAGCTTTAGGGTTTTTTGCCCTTTAGTATTCCTTCTGAAAAAAAAGTGGCTCCTAATCATTTGTACCTTGTCCTGTGTAGGAGCACTTTGTAAAGATGGACCAAAGTTATCAGGTGTCTTATCACTTCTACTCCTTTCCAGCAGTGTAACACCACAAATGAGTTGAGCAAACCCCATGCTCTAATGTAATTCATGAGAGATCAGGCTCTGCTCTGCACATGAGCTTCTGCAATGCTTCATTCACACTGCAGTGCCCTGTCTGCAATTCAGCTCCTGAACCCATAGAAGAAGAATAATGAAATTTGACTGACAGAAGGCAATGGAGAACCAACCTTACATGGCAGAGAGGGAAATCAAGGCAAACAGAGGCTGTGGGGAGAACATAGGTCGCTGTGATTTCAGATGTTGTGTTCCACTGGGAAGTGAGTAAAACAAGCTGGAGGGTCATGCTTCCACTCCCCTGCCTACCCATCAGCCAGACTTGACTCTGTGGAAATGGCTGTGACGTGGTAGTTTAAAGCCTAGTGATAAGGAGACACAAACACTGGTGACTGAAAAGATGTGGAGTTTGTCTTAAGCCTAGAGGATTTCCTAGATCACCATTGATTCTACAGCCTGCTTGAGGAGACACTGCATAGAGCTGTAAGAACCCAGAATAAGTTGAAACTCATGTCCTGGGTGATTTGCAAAAAGACTTGTAGTCACTCTTCCATCACTGTCTTATGATAGTTGCTGGGTTTTTGCACAGGTGCTAGGGCCCAGTTTCATGTCTCTTTTTGCAAATCACAGACCTCCTCGAGTGTTTGACTTAGCCTGTGATTATGTCATTTTCCTGACAGTAATGGGCGTGGAGAGAGAAGCAACTAATTCAAGTGAATTTAGTTAGTTTTGATTTCATAAAAAGTCATCCAGGCTGTAGTTAAGAAGCTGTGTTGGCTCTTCAAAAGCAGTACTTGTGAATTCCTCCTGCCTCACGTGTGATGTTTGCTTGTTGTTCATGGGGTGAGACCATCTCAAGTTCAGCCAAGCCGAGCCACCACTTATTTCAGTCTTTTTGTACTTACAAGAATGACTTGTCAGCCCCTAACTGAAAATGCTGTTTTGTATTTGTTCAGCTTTAACTGGGCTGCCCTGGTTGTAGATGAAGCTCACAGACTGAAAAATCAAAGTTCTCTGCTTTACAAGGCACTTTCTGAGGTAAAGTAACTCATCTACAGCTACCTGAAAGGGGGTTGTAGAGTGATGGGGGATGGTCTCTTCTGCCTTGCCTGCAGTGAGAGGACTAGAGGGAATGACCATAAGCTGAGACAGGGGAGATTCAGGTTAGATGTTAGGAAAATTTTTTCACTGTTAGGGTGATCAGGCACAGGAATAGGTTGCCCAGGGAGGTTGTTGAATCACTATCCCTAGAAGTGTTTAAGAGGCATCTGGATCTGGCACTGGAGGATATGGTTTAGGAGTTACAGTGGAGTGACAGGTTAATAGTTGGATATGATCATTTTAGAGGTCTCTTCCAACCTGGATGATGCTATGATTCTATTCTATGATCTATCTTCTAGTGTCAAAAGACTTTTTTCTCTTCAGTATAGCATGCAGATTCTCTGTTTGTTCCTCAGGGTATTTATTAAGTTCTGGGACACAACTGGCTTCCATCAGAGTTGGGGAACAGATTTGCATATTTAGTGGAGACAGATAAAGGTTTATCTTGTTGGCTTTGCATGGAGGTGGACAGTATTTGGAGCTTCTCCCTCACTCTGATTCATGGTTGGACTTGGCACGTTGGAGCAATTTGAAAAACTTTAAAATGTAAACCAGCCAGACATAGTCCTGAACCACAGCTGTGCTATTGAAGTAGTAGAAGTCTGGCTGACCTATGACAATACAAAGCAACAAGAGGCTATCTCCAGCTCTGGGGGGATGAGGAAACCCTTGCCTAGTTCATGGAACCTCAAGTCATGAACTACTGACTTCCACTGCCCCAGTGCGTGGACTTGTATATTAACTAACTTTTCCTCCCAGATATTTTGTCCTAATAAGTTTGTTTTATTGCTGGTTCTTTCAGTTCTCAGTGGGCTTCAGCCTGCTACTCACAGGCACTCCAGTCCAGAACAGCCTCCAGGAACTGTACTCCTTACTCAGTCTTGTTGAGCCTGACATCTTTCCTAGGGAAGAAGTGAAAGAGTTTGTTGAGTATTACCAAGCGATTGAAAAGGAGAGTGAGCCAGGTCAGTAGTAAACAACACTGTACTTCAATCAAAACCAGCTGTTATCTTGACTAGGAGACAAGCGTGCTGTGTTCTCTTTCTTTGCTCTCTTTTAATGCTGATTAGCTGTAAAACAAAACCACGAAAAGTAATTATTACTCCTAAAGTAGAGACCTACCTTAATGTAGCTCCTAAGTGTTTGAGGTGTGCAGCTATGATTTGGTTAGTGTGTAAAATTTAGTAAAATCGTTTCACTAATTGACATGAGATTCATTATACATTTATTTTGAGAGTGTGGTTGTGAAGGTGCTATATAAATTCCTTATCTGTAATGCAGTTATCTCCTTTCTTTTTTTTTTTTTTTCATTTCCCTGGCTCTGCATAGCCAAAGAATTGCACAATCTTCTGCAGCCTTTTTTGCTTCGGAGAGTCAAATCTGAAGTGGCTGCCGAGCTGCCAAAGAAGGTGGAAGTGGTTCTGTACCATGGAATGTCAGCTCTGCAGAAGAAGTACTACAAAGCCATTTTGACAAAAGATTTAGGTAACTGAGGATTTTGAATCCTATCAATTATTTTTAAAAAGAAAACTTAATTCCTTTTATAAATGCATGCTCTGTCCTAGGGAATTAGAAGTTATTTTGGCCTGCAGAATGTGTACAGAATAAATACGCCAAATTTTGTGTTTTGTGCTGCTTGGTTTGTGGTTTTAGCTTGTGATAAGAGACATATGGGTCTGTTGCTGAGCTATTGCAGAGCTAGGAAGGGTCATCTTCAAGATTGCTTTGGGCTAGTCTGTAATTAAAATACCATGACATAAGCTGCTCCTGTTGCATGTTTTTGTAGTCAAACAAAAGGGTGGTACAGGAAATTTTGGATCTGTGGATCTCTACCAATTTTCCAACAGATGCCATAAGTAAATTTCAACCTACTAGATACAAACCTGAATTTTTTGGGGAAACTACATAGCTATGTGGACAATGCAGCCATTACCACATCATATGGTTTACTTATGCTTATGTGTTGTAGAGAAAGTAAAACTGGGGAGTTGGAGACCCTTTGTTCTTCTAGGACTAGCACTTTGCATGAACATCACCAGGAAATCTGAACCTTCATCTTCTGAAGTCAGCATATGTGCATGTATTTTCTTTTTCTCCTCACAAAAATGCAACCCTTCTTAATTTCCTGTTGCCCAGGAGATCTTTCTATTTATTTTTTTTTAATTCAAATGAACTGCACCAAATTTCTTTCACGTTTTTTGATTATTCACTCTTAGAAAAATTACAGTGACCTTTTCCAAGGAGTCTAGAAAGTTCAGTGAGTCTGACAAGGTAGAGTGGTTTTCATCAGGGTTTTATTTCTAAAGGCTTGTCCAAAATATTTGAGGGAAATCTTGTTTGGTTCATGAAAACAAATGTATTAGTCTTATGATGGGAAATTCAAATGCAGATGTGATATGGAGAGAGTAATACACCAGTGCTGAAACACTTCAGAGCAATGCTCAGTACCCAAACATTCCTAGTCCTACCCATTGATGGAGCATGAGCTTCCCTGCTCAGTTACTTTTCTGTGCTCTTTGTTCCAGATGCATTTGAAAATGAAACAGGAAGGAAGGTTACACTGCAGAATGTCTTAATTCAGCTTCGGAAGTGTGTTGCCCACCCATACCTTTTCAGTGGTAAGAAAACACTGCTCTCTCTTGAAATAGAAAACAATAACTCTCTTGATTTATACAGTGGTTTTCTATTATTGCTTGGCAGTCTAATGCTTAGAAGAAGCAAGTAATAAACAGTCTTGTACTTGAATCAGTAGCAGCTGTGAGTTTGTGACCAGTTCCAACACAAGACAGTTCACAATAATTGAGCAGTAAAGTAGGAGACTCTGTGAAGTCTGAGTTTCTAACTGCACTTGTGTGTCTCCTCACCCAAAGAAATCACAATGCTTTGTGTACTACTGAGGGTGTCAGAGACAGAGGAGGACCATCACTTCTCAAGCATACATCATAGGGCTCTGCTTTACAATAGTGACAATGCAGACACACTGAGGTTGACCACAAGGTTGTTACTTGTATTCTATTAGGTCTGCTTTTGAAACTCCTTTCTGTTCCAGGTGTTGAGCCAGAACCCTTTGAGATTGGAGAGCATATTGTTGAAGTCAGTGGCAAGATGTGTTTGTTGGATAAACTCCTTTCATTCTTGTATGCTGGGTATGTCATGTTGGGGGGGGTTGACCTAAGGAGAAGAAGTGAACTGGGGAAGGCAAGCTACCTAATTTAGCCATAGATTGAGCAGATATTCATCATAACTCAAGCACTGCCCTATTTATTGCACATTAGTGACTGCCTGAAAGAAGTACTTTCAGTATAAGGAGCTGCGTTTGAGATGGCAGAGGAACCTCAAAGATTTTTGTAGCTTTCCTTTAAACATTTCTCAAAACACTTCACTAACTCTCTCACATGTTCTCGTGTTTGCCATATTTGAGACCCTGGGAGAATAACCATCTGACTTGGTATTCAGCATATCTGGTTTGACTGTGGGTTTTCTGAGAGTGGCTTCCAATGCATTGGTTGAGTTCCTTTGTGCTGGCATGCCTGTGTTAGCCCAGGAGGCAGAATCCATAGCACATGTGAAAAAGAAATCTGACTGGACCAAAACCTAAGAGTAAGCTGAAACCTCAGCTTTGAGATTGACATTCAGAACTCCTTGTGTTGTGCTGTGGCGAGTTGATAACCCAGAACCCAAAGACCTTGGGTGTTTGCCTTCAGCTCTCAGCTGGGTGGCAAGTCAAACTGTGGTTTGCATTCTTGTGCAGTCTGTGAAGCAATGGCTCCTGCATGATGCAAATTCTGTCTTCTCAATTGGGCTGTGATTTCCCTTCAACTACTTTCAAAGGACAGAGCTCCAACAGACCTAGGGAAGTTCTGTTGTGGAGGTCTTTGTCCTTCTGCTGTACAGCACCTGGTGAGTGGGTGCCTCTCCCTTGAATGCCTTTGCCTTGGGAACAGCCCTGTGCAAGTTCTGAACTTGAAAACATCCGTGTTCTGCTCTACAGTGAAGTCTGTTTTAAACAGCACTGTCTGAGGCCTCGAGCTAGGAGGGAGGAGAGTTCATTTCTTACGCATGTTTGTAGGTAGAGTTTGATCTTTGAAGGTCATTAGCTGAAGGAGGAAATGCTCTGCTGTCACTGAGATGCTGATACTACATTTTCCCAGCATTTCATATGTGTTCCATTGTGTGATTTGAGAGCAATCATGTGGTGAGGAAGACCTCATCATGCTAGGTTGAGGATTCTTTTAGACAGGTTACTTTAGATCCTTATCAGGCTGTATCCAGCCAACAGCAGAGCTCTGCTAGAGCCTAGTTGCTTCTCTGTGACTCCACACACAAGGCAGCTGATGATGGCAGATCAAGCTAACTGATTGCATCTGGATGTGAGGCTGAAAATGTGAGGGAATGGGCCATGGTTCTGGGAGGCTTAGTGTACAGAGTTGGTGGGGCCTTGCTATGTAACTGATTAACAGTGACTGGTTAGGCTCTTCTAACTGCTTTACCACTCTGTAAAATGCTGTCACAGTATGATGACGATTATAATGTCTCGTGTTCTTCTTCCAGTGGCCACCGTGTCTTGCTCTTTTCTCAGATGACTCAACTGCTTGATATCTTGCAAGACTACATGGACTATAGAGGTATGTTCTGCACACTTTGGCAGAGGGCTTATCCTAATGATCTTTGCCATATCTTGTTCCTCTGACTTTTGGTTGATCTGCCTGGAATGGAGAAAAGAATGTGATGAATATTTACTGCTTCTTAGTAGATAGAAACCATATTCTTGCAGTGGCTCTATGAATTGGAAGGTCTTGAGTTCAGCTCTTCACTGTGTTGCCACCTGTCTGAAATGAGTTGACAGTTAAATATTGTTCTTCAAAGTAGTTTCAGCTTTTGTTCCTCAGTAAAATGGAGCTAAGAGATGGCAGGGTAGCAGTGTTATATTATATACCTGTGTTCACTTGTGTACCTGAATCCTGAAGTAATTGCAGTAAAAGCAGTAGACTTGCCTAGATTCAGTTTGTCCAGCACAAAACACAAATTGAGCCATATTCAACGCAGGAAATTAATTTTTGATTAAAACAGTTGCTGACAGTGGGGGCCCCAACATGTCTGTGAGGGCAGGTTGGATCAGACCATTTTTGGCAGGGTTAGCAATGTGTTCTTGGGACATTTTCTTTTGTTTCAATCCACATGGCTCCAAGCCTACTTAGGATTTCCCATGAAAGAGGCTTTTGTTTGGTGTTTATGGTTTTGGACGACTAATAATGTAGGATAAAGCCAAATGTAGAGCCATATCCCATACTGCTCCATCATAGGAAAGCACACATTGAGGGCCGTGGGAGCTTGCATAAGGATGGTTGTTGGCCTGTTTTGTGGGGCCAACAGCCAGAACAGCATAGTCTGAAATGGAACTGTGTGCTAATGTTCTTTTACTTGGGCTCTGAATTTTCCTGTTCAATTTCCAAGCAATAAATTAAATGCTAAGAATCCCTGCTTCAGACTCAGCTAAATTACCCTTTACCCACAGTCAATCTGGAAGTCAGGGTCACTACTTCAGTTTATATGAGGTTTGACTGGAAAAAAAATGACGGAGTTGAAGGCAACAAAATGAGAACCAAGGCAGGGAGGAGTTGGCATAAAAAGATTCAGAACAGCAGTGAGACAATAGAGACTGAGGTAAGAAGGTAAGAGGATAGATGGAATTTCAGAAACATACATATCTTTGTTTGTTTGAAAAGGCTACAGCTACGAGCGGCTGGACGGCTCTGTTAGGGGTGAAGAGAGACACCTTGCCATTAAGAACTTCGGTCAACAGCCCATCTTTATCTTCCTGTTGAGCACCAGAGCAGGTAAGTAAGGAGGGATAAACAACCCATCTTGTTTCTGCACTCCTCTTTTTCTCTCTGGCAAGAGTTCAGGGATTTCTGAATTCTGCAGAGTCTGTTCATGTTGGGGATTTTGAAGGGAGACAGGACACATCCTGAACTTGGGTCTCTCAGCTAGGACATCTGGTTTCTATACTTTCCTTCTGGCAGCTGATGCCAAGATAATTTTTGTATCACAGCCTCTTGAGTTTTATTTTATTCCAAGTCCCATAATGCCTGTCTTTGTGCCAGTTTGAGCTTAAGAAGTCTCACTAGCATTTTATTTCTGCAAGCACTAGAATTTAGGCAGGAACAGACTTCCCTTAAGTAAGCTGGTGGAATTGCTTCTTAAGTTTGCTGAACATGGATGTGCTCTCTAGCCAGCAGACAGACTGAAACGAGAGCCTTTTACTGTCCTGAGACTGCAAAGAGCTCCGTGGGGCTGCCATCTGCTTCTTCCCCTCTTTGCTCCTTGGGCAGATCTGTGTCTTCTACACAGTTTTGAACCTCCCTGTGTCTCTGTTCAGGCAAGCACAGAGCCAGGCTTCTGCATGTATCCAGAGGAGGAATCCACACAGCTTGGTCTCAAACATCAAACTTGAACCACATCTTCCTTTGGGCTTCTGGTTAGACTTTCCTGCATGAGCCTGGCTGCAATGATACCACAGTGCATTGAGTTCATAGGAAGACTGAAGAGAAATACCTCATATTAAATATTAGGAGTACATATGTCCCTCACCACCGTGCCTGAACTCTCCTTGCCCATGTCAGCCAGACTTAAGAGTCGTGTTTTACTGCACATCCCCATGTCTGGCCAAAGCATCTTGTATTCAGCTGGGAACAGGTGTGCTAAGAGTATTTCCATCACTGTTATGTTATGGACAGATTTCCAGGTGCATGGCTATCTCCACTGGCAGTGATGTTCTGAGTACAGTGAAGCTGTCTTGTTGTGAGCTGGGAGAAATGTAAGGCAGCAGGCTGTCTGCTCTATAACTACAGGATGTGGTCACAATAGTGGATATTTAACAATGTAGAATTAACTGTGAGTTTTTTTCTTTTCGTTCCATGAGAGCTCAAGCTCAAACCTCAAGACCTTTAAGTCATATAAATACCTAGGCTCTGGTTGTTTTACAGTTGAGCCTGGTGTTTTCCAGTGTTTCAGTGGTGTATTTACCAGTTGCTTCTGTGCTGCAGCCAAGTCATAACTTGGGCAGTCCCTTGTGGCCTCAGTGAAGCCAATCCTTGCTGTGATAATCTGCCTGCCAGCAGAAGAATGTGTCTGTGTTCATCAGTCTTGATAATCAGTCCCTTTTGCATTGGTTCATTTGCACCCTATCCTTTTTTATTACATTGCACAGTTCAGTTTGGGTTTGGGCTGTTGGAGAAAGCAAAAAATCTTTTTAGATCCTTATGGGACTTATATTTGGGGTTGAGAGAAGGATTGACAGAATTTTGCATAGCATAAATTCTCCAGCTTCTCCTTCATTTTCTGCTGATGACATATTTTGTGACCACCTTGTTTTGTTTATAGGTGGCGTTGGCATGAACCTGACAGCAGCAGATACAGTGATTTTCACTGATAGTGATTTTAACCCACAAAACGACTTGCAAGCAATAGCAAGAGCTCACCGGATTGGGCAGCACAAGTGAGAAATGTCACTACTTCTGGTTTAGGTCTGTGCAAGTAAATAGCTTAGTGCACCTCAAAAAACAGTGAATAATAACAATTTTCTTAAACTTTTCAAGGCCTGTAAAAATTATTCGCTTGATTGGGCGAGATACGATTGAAGAAATAATCTACCGAAGAGCTGCTTCTAAGCTCAGGCTGACAAATGCTGTCATAGAAGGGGGTCAGTTTGCTCTGGGAGCACCCAAGCCTCAGGGAGCAGCAGAGTTACAGGTAAACTAGAGCTATATCCTCAATTTGACTCCAGTAAGGACCTTAGAAATGTCCTGGAATATTTCTGTCTTTATGTCTAATATGAACCTTAGCCAAACAGTTGTGCATTGACACAACAGGTTTTGTACGTAAGAACCAAAATGATATCCCAGATCAGACAAGACCTGACATTTGACAACAGCTTTTGCACTTTTCAGGCACATCCATTGTTGGAAAAGGGTGTGTTTTTTTGGAGAAGAGGGAAAGGTGTCTTTCCTTGTCTTACTTGTTTGTAATTCTGACATGTCTAAAGGGGAAACTGACTCATTGTTTCTAGAGCTGATCTGTGGTGCTTTTCTCTTACAAATGGAGCTGATAACAAGTACCTACTCAGCTTTTTGTTGTCAGTTGGAAACCCAGTCAACCTTCTGTTGGCCTCTTGGCAAATAGAGTGTCTCAGGAGTCAGGGCGTGATTTATAATTCTGACCTGAAAACTGAGATTTTTGCTGAGAATTTGGGTTGAAAACCTCAAGCAAAGTGACACATTTAAAGGAATATATCCCCTGTGTGCAGCTCAACCTGGGAGAGGTTTGGATTTGGTGTATCCTTTCCCCTTCTGCCTCCCCTCCCCACCCCATTAGCATTTATCTCAGCAATTACAGTTTCTGTGGGAAAAGTGGAACTGAGCCCATACGAAATTCCATGCTGATATTTTTCTCCCCATGTTTTTTTGTGGTATTTAAGGTTTTGTTTTAAAGGAATTGAGGACAAAAACTAGACTGGTCTTTCTAGCTGTGAAGAAAGCTGCTTGAGTGCAGTAAGTACTGTTTTGTCATTTAGCCCTGAAGAAAAATGACCATTCAAGTCTGGATGAGTTATGATTGAGGGAGATCCGTTGTAGGGGCTTGTCCTGTAAGGTGTTGGGAGAACTAGACATGGTAAAGCATAAGTATTTTGACAGGCAGCCTTAAGGCTTAGGTTTCTCCACTCATACATCCTTTGCATTTAAGCCTGAGAAGCTCAAGATGCTGGGATTGACATGGAATTAGAAGATAATAATACTGAACTTCCCCTTCTCTTTGTTAAAGCTGAGTGAAATCTTGAAATTTGGCTTGGATAAATTGCTCTCCTCTGAGGGGAGTACTATACAGGATGTGGAGCTGGAAAACATCCTTGGAGGGACAAAAGGAGGGAAGTGGGTAACGGACGCTATGTTGCCATGTGAAGAAGAGAAAGAAGAGGAGGATACAGAGAGTAAGTTAAGAATCAAAATAGCTATGACACTTGGGTGCTGGTAGGGAAATCTTCCCAGGTAGAGGTGACATTTTTTAAGGCACCAAGAAGAGAAGTGGAATTGTAAATAAGTGACTTGGATTTTGTTTGTAGCCTATCCACAAACTTTATTTCAGAGTCTTTATTGGTCTTCTTCTTCTCTTTGTGTCCTTATTTGCCTGTTTGTAAGATAGTGCGAACAATACTTGCCCGGTTTTGGTGGCTGGGGGTTGAACTCCTTCCTGTGAATATTGTAATACCTCACATGGAAATTGATGAGAAAAGGGGAAATATTCATACTGCAGCTTCTGCTTTTCCCACAGGGAACCACTAAGATAAACCTACAGTTTTGGAGATATAACAGTAACTTAAGGAAAGGCTATTTAGCAGATGTTTTGTATTTATCTCCAAACAAAAGATTATTGGTCATGAAAATCACAAGTTGACATGACCTTAAAAAAAAATCCCCAAATGTGAGATAAGAAATGCATAGTCATGGTGTCTAAACAACTAGAACAAACCTCCTCTGTCTTCAGAGCTCTGCTTTCCCATTCAGGTATCATACAATAGTGGTTAGTTTTTCATAGCCCCATATTATATGAAAATAAATTCTAAGGGTACTTCCCTCTTCTAGTGTCATGGTGAGAGAGACTGAGTTGCTGTCTAGATACACAGTAGCACTTAAATATAGATCTGTGACTGAAGTAGAAATGTGGCCCTGCAGGTTAGGTATTGTACATCCAGCAGCAGTTGCCAGCAGTGAGTAATTATTTGCTGAGAGTTAGCAAAGACTGGTATTTTCTGGTGGTAACTTAAAAGAGGAGCAGTGGTATCACACTGTGTAATAGGGATTGGGAAAATACCTGATGAGCAGCAGCTCTGGGCTGGCAGAGTTCTGTGCTTTTATTTTGTTTGGGAGCTCAAAAGCAAAAGTTTACTGTCCCTTTACAAGAGTTGCCTGTAACTAGATAAGCACAGCTAAATGGATTTGCCACTGGCAAAGATGGAATGACCGAAGAACAGCAATAGAGCCACAATTTAAAATAATTAATTGACCAAAATAGGAAGGAAGGATCTTTGCCAGGAAAAATGACTTAAATGAAAAGCTTTTGTCTCAGGAAGCAAATCTTGATTCTGTTACTTCTACATGATACTGACACTAGTCACACAAAAAAATGATGAGAGTGAAGATCTTCTGCTGAGGGTAGAACAGTGTCACAGAGGAGCCAATTTTTTTTCTATCTCACTGTAAATTTTAGGTGTTACTGGGTTTCAGTTCCTTTTTACACTTTTTTATTGTTTTTTAAAGATCACATGTACGTATATGAAGGCAAAGATTACTCTAAAGAACCCAGCAGAGAAGACAAAAAAGCATTTGATCAGCTTTTGGATCTTCAGAAAGCATTTGTCGAAGAGACCAGTAAGGAAGGGAGAGCTCTCCGGAACAAAGCAAATGTAAGACAGAAGGCGTGACAAGGCACATGATGCTCTTTCACTTGCTTGTGGAAAATGAAACTGACAGTTTTCTCTGTTTACCTACAGCTTGCAGAAGGCATGTTAAAAGATTTGCATGTCAATGTAGTAAAGTTGGCTCTGGAATCTGAAGGCTTGACAATTCAGCAGTTGTGATAACAGATCAGAGATGTGCTGTACAGGGCACTCATAGAAACTCAGGTCACAAAACCACATGTTATGTGACAACTGGGATCTGATGATTAAGACTTGTGGACAAGTAAACAAATGGGAAAGAAATGTAGGTTAAGGTGGGCACCAGGCATGGCTTTAAGATGAGCAGTTTGTTTCTGTGATACTTTTTTCTTTCTCCAGGCCCTTCTCACAGGCCTTCGGGAGCTGTCAGCCAGGAGGAAGCACTTGTTGAGTGCAGAGGAGCTGGAGGCTAGGAGGAAGAAGCGCCAAGAAGCAGCAGCCAAGAGAGCAAGGCTCATGGAGGAAAAGAAGGCAGCAAAAGCAGAGGCAGAACACAAGAAAAAGTATGGTTTGTGCTGTATCTGCTGCTTGTAAACTGATGTATATTGCACTGTACTTTAGAAATGTGTGTCCGATTGATGAAAAGCTGTGCTCTGTATCCAGCCTTGCAAGGGAGGCTGGGGATGAGGGGAGGAGAAGATGTCAAAATGGCTGCAGGCCACCCTCATGAGAGGGTTAACTTCATATATCAGGGTGTTTCTGTGTGTATGCTTGAACTCCATAACATGGGGATGTGAAGATGGAAAAAATGGCTTGAGTCCCTAGCAAAAGCTCTTTTCTTCTGAATACCCTGCCTGACTTTACATCTACTTTAATTCATAGACAGTGGCCTAATAAGAAACCCATATCTCAGTGTACAATGAGCCTTTGGGAGGAGCTTTCTGAAATGTCACAGTTGGCCTCTGTGTATTGGTCTGACGTCTGTATGTATCTCTGGCATGTATCTTAACTTTCTCCTCCTAGTTTCCCAGGTTTTCTTCCTTTTCACCACTCCAAGTAGCTAGTTGCCCTTTGTTATGTGCTCACTTTTTCCATGCCTGCAACTGTCTTACAACGTTGGCATGTGGCTCTTAATATCATAGATAAGAACTGTGGTAAACATTGTTCTGGCCTAAAATAGGGGATGGAACGGGGGGAATGCAGGTCTAGGTCTCCTGTGTTTCACTGCAATGATTTAAACCAAGATGTGTATCTGCCACTTTTGATTTTCATTGAATATCATCTTCTCTTGTTTCAGGATGGCTTGGTGGGAGGCAAATCATTACACATCTACCTGCCTTCCTTCAGAGGAAAGTGGCTCTGAGGAAGAGTTTGAGGATGATGAGGTTGGGCCAAATGTGGATTTAGATACAGACCAGAACCGTATCAAGTACGTCATGGGAGACGTAACCCACCCCAAAGCAGAAGAGGAAGATGCCATCATTGTCCACTGCCTAGGTGGGACTTAAGAACAACAGGAGTGTTGTTGGGCAAGGTGGACAGGAGGCCTGAATTGTCCCCACTAGCTCAGTAGTTTCTAATTCCCATGCAGACTGAAATTATTCAGGTTCAAGTCTGACCGTCTCTAGTGGTGCAGAGGCAATACAGCCTCTACTTCACCATGTATAACCCACAGAAGTACTAGCAAGGTGTGTATGGGTCTTTGTATGCCCTCTGTGGATCTATGGGTGAACCTCTTGAAAGCTGCCTGTATGGCTTGAAATTTTAGATCTGTGGCTAAGTGATCACAGTCCCTCCTGAGAGTAGGGCCTTTTGTTTATCTTGTGGAAGCTGTAGGGATTGAACTGAGATACTGAAAATCATCTTCTTTATCCGGTCTGCAGTGAGAGACAGGCACTTCCAGCGGCTGAGGTCAGAGTTTCTTGGTGCTTATCTCTCAGCACAGACTGTACAGACACTCTAGGCTAGTCTTCTAATTCAAGGACTTCTTTTAAGACACTAAAACTGAGGGAGAGAAAGTCACATTACAAAGCTTCTCCTGAAGGAGTGTTGGAGTTGTTCCCTGACCAGGGCTATAGCAGAGCATCATAATCTGCTTTGGCTTATGTTACACTCTGCACAAAACCTCATGTTTAAAATCTAAATGCCAAGTAAAAGTGAAAGACTGCAAATGCCAAAGATCTAATTGTGGGAAGCTGAAGGCACCAATCTGGGGATGTACTATATGCATGCTCTATGCACCTATATGTATGTATGTATGTGAGGATACCATCAGGTTTATAAGCTCTATGCTCTGGTTAGTGCTTGTTTGAGCATTCTCAGCAGACAGTAAGAAGGAATTTTTCCTCTAGGGTTATTCAGAGAACTGTGACAGGTTTGTTTTTCTCCAGAGCTGAGGTTTATCCTTTAGGATAGTCCCTTGAATCGTGGTTGACTCCAGTTTGTATGTGGTTGCCATATCTGGTTTTGATAATCATTCATTACATGTGGACAGAGTAGGTGCCTTTCCTGTAGGGGTGGTCTTCAACCTCACTTCTAAAACGAGTCTAACTTGTCACTTCATTCTAGATGACTCCGGCCGCTGGGGAAGGGGTGGTTTATTTACTGCTCTGGAGGCTCGTTCTGATCAGCCAAGGAAAATATATGAGATGGCAGGAAAGATGAAAGGTAAGAGATTGAAATGTGACCTTAGGCCAAGACACTTGAAAGAACTTCAGTCCTACTGATGTTGCAGGGGTGAGGTGCCTGGATACCTTGATACTTGTGTTTTTTCTTCTTTCTCTAGATAGGTGCATCCCTAGCTCTGAAAGTAGTAATTCAGTGGGTGCTTTGAGTTGACTTGTTTGGAGTGTGTGAACTCTGCACAGAGGCTGATCATTCCAATCCATGCTGCAAGTCATAAAAAAAAAGAAAACAAACCCAACCTTGTTCATTATTCATAGGGTATTTTTCACTATATAAGACAGAGCACTGCATCTTCTGTCAGAGTGCCTTTAAGAAGGATGAGGTGAAAGCCACCTCAGGCAGTACTCAATTGAGCCTCTGCTTCCCTCCAAGCACTAATCTTTTCCTGAGTGTGTATTAGTAGTTTTGAGCTACCTGCAGCTGCTGTAAGGTGGACCTGTTGATATTTCTTCTTTCCTAGAAGATGCTTTCTTTTTTTTTTTTGTTTCAATATCTTTCTTTCCATTTGTGGTCTTTCACTGGGATGTGTGTGTGTGTGACTGTGTGGCTCTGGGGGGAAAACATTTGTCTTGCTTCCCTGGGCTAAGGGTCTGACTGCTGAAACCATCACGAGGAGATAAAGTCTCAGAGAATAATACAGAATGTGACAGTGAAATCAGTGCTGCATCGACTGCTCATTGACTCTTCAGGACTGATTTTTTTTGTTGTTGTTGTCCTGTTCTTGTTTTCTGGACAGACCTGGAGTTAGGAGGAACCCTGTTATTCCCCATTGATGATAAAAAATCCAGGAAAAAAGGACAAGACTTGGTGAGAATGAGAAGCTCTTCTTTTGTGTATCTTTGTCCATATGTTTTTGAAGCTGTATGAAATGAACCTTATGTCTTTTTTCCAATAAGAGCACTGAATATGGAAGATGGCTAAGTTGGAGTTAAATGCTAGAGAAAATGAGATCTTTTTCTCATTTATTAAAGCTAAAAGTTAGTAATGCAGCTATTGCTGTGTCTCTTTGCACTGTGTAAGTCTCCCTTTCATTTTTTGGTGTGTTTTCTCCTTAGTTGGCCTTGATTGTAGCTCAGCACCGGGATCGGTCCAACAACTTGTCTGGCATTAAGCTGTCTGCTTTGGAAAAGGGCTTGAAGAAGATTTATTTAGCAGCCAAGAAAAGGAATGGTAAGTGTCTGTGCTGTAGAACAGCGAATCCTTACATGTGTGATTGCACCTAAAGATGATGACCAATTTCTGCCTCTCCTCTACTGTTTTTTTCTGAAGTGGAGTGAGATTTACATAGCAGATATGTTGCTCAAAAATATTTCTTCTGTTTTTGTTGGGTGCCTTGAAGTCCTTATCTAGATTGCTTTCTCTATGGGTATCTTGTCCTAAAGAGTGTGCACTCTGTTCCTTCTTTCTCAGCAACAGTTCATCTTCCACGTATAGGATATGCAACAAAAGGTTTTAACTGGTATGGGACTGAGCGGCTCATCCGGAAGTATCTGGCAGCACGGGGTATCCCCACTCTGATGTATCCTTTTGGAGTATGTCTTATTCTGTTCACAATCTGGTACTGAAATAATCCTATAAATATCTCAGTGAATGCAAAGCAAGGCAAAGCACACATGCCACAGTCCAGCTAAAAACCTGGTTTTTCTGACTTTGCTGTCATCCAGGTACTCATTCCACACTGAGGACTTATCATTTCAGGTGATACTGACAGATGAGTGTGATTCAGTATGCCTGTCAGAATTTGTTAGACCTATGTGCTAGTCTTGTGTTGACAGCATTGACTTACCTGTTATCTGCCAGGTCTGAGGGGGAGATTACTGTAACGTCAGAATAACGGAAGTGACTCAGAAAGCAGAAAAAGTGAGAATATGAAAAAACATTACAATGTTCTGAACAAGTGATAACCTGCTTCCTTGGCTGAACATGGTGGGGTTGATGTGTGTTAGGACAGGCTTAGGAAGGCTTTCACCTTCCAAGAAAGGGAGCAGGTTTACAAGGAGGCTCTGTTTTGTCACTCCTGTAGGAAGATATGCATTAGCTATACTGACACTGTCAGCATTTCTATGAAACTGAAAACCTGAAACAAAGACAACAGTATTCAGGGCATTCTTCCTCCTTCCTTGGTGGATCTGTTAATGAGCACATTGTCTGGCATTCCTTGACACCATTTCCTTGACACTTTTTATTAGATACTACTTCTCTAGGAATAAAGACTCTTCCTCTGCTTCACAGCCATATTCGTCTTCAATGACAGTCTCAAAGCCATGAAGATGCAGTAATTTTACCAAGAAACATGCACAAAAAGTGAACAGCATGCAGGCAGTCTGTATGATTCACTGCAGAAACATGGCTCACACAGCCGTTATTCGCCCCTGCATCTCTCTGCCTTTTCTGGGCCCAGCATTTTACATACTGGTAGTGTCTCTGGAGAGGAATGAGACTGCTTTGGACTCCAACGAGGAAGGATGTTGGCTCAATCCCAGATCTGTTCTGGAGAGGGAAAATTAAACTTTTGCTGATGGTCAGTTGTTATCCTTTGCCTTAAGTTATTGTTAGGGCTTGGAATACAGTATTGTTTGGCTGTATTTCCCTGCCCCCCTGCTTCAGATTTCAAACCTTGTCTCACTATATATCTTTCCAATCAGCTTTTTAGTGGTTACCTGGGATTCTGTGCACATGTCCACATATAAGTCTTAGTGGAAAGGAACCTGTCAACTATATGACAATACTGTTCTGGTTTCCCAGAAATCCATTTGACTTGCATTTGTTCAAACATAAAATTTAGCTACATAATCACACGCTTATAGTCTAGCAAAATGCTCACCGGTATTCTTGGCCAAGGTGTGCCAGGCTGCCAAAATTTGAGATTGACTTTTTAAATGACACCTTTCCTTCTCCTACAGCTGTTTTTCCATGACTGTTTTTTGTTGCAGCTGTTGGGCAAAAACAGTTCCTTACTGCTGTCTAAAAAGTTTCCATGACCTTTTGATTCACTTTTTAGTACAGTTTTTGATGTTGGCTTTGCTGTATTGCAAGAGAACTATCTTGAGTTTTTGCATTGTTGGCACTGTTGCATATTTTAGGGTGTTTTTAGTATAACCAGGCAATAGCAGCTCTCCTAGTAAGTGTTTTGACCAGAGAGACTGTGAGGTGCCAAAATTAATTCAATTTAAAGTTCAGCTTCCAGTAGGAAATCACCCCACAAGCAGTGGAAACTATGGCCTTAAGTATCTCATTGCCAACACACATCTCACTGGCTGCATTTACACTGCCTCTGCAGCACCATCTGGTTACTTCATCATTTCAGCCCTGCCTTGGCTCATCATGCTGACTGCTGTGCTCCAACTAGAAGAATCCTTCCCGAGTTGGATACTCTGTGCTGTCCACTCTTGGCTCTGCTGGAAAACCCCAGGTGGTTCGTTATCTCCTTTGACCCCTGCTGAAGCTTAAGTAAGCCAGTGCTGCACAGCACCTCTGGGGGTAAGGTCTTTCTTGCAACTGCTCAGAGGAGCAGCCTCTGTATTTGGCAAAGGGTTCGCAGGGTCAGAGTGTGACCGTGAGGACTTTGTGGGGTGAGGCACTGAGCGCCAACTGGCGCTCTTCCAGCGAGCCGGCTGGTGGCACTGTTAATCAGCTGCAGCAGCGCACGGTGCTCCTCAGCCTCCTTTCAGAGAGCACTGATCTCCAGCCTGGAAAAACGCTCCCTCTTTGCCAGAATTAAACACCAGTTATGCTTTTCTCTTTGGCAGCTTGACTGAACACATAATTTCAGTATGCAGAGTCAAGGCTCTGTTCCTTCCACCTATTATTTTCTTGTAAATTTATTACTCTTCTTTAAGAGGTTTTCTTCCCAAGTGTTCCAGTGTGTGCAGTCTTGTTCCTCAGCTTCACACACACCTATGGCCAAATCCTAGCCCACCTATGGGTTCTCTGGCCACCATGCAGTTGCAGATAGACAGGATTTGTCTTGTGGCCAAGTCCCCCAGAACAGGTTGCAGTAGTGTGTCTGCCACCACTATGACCAGGTATTCCTGTTTAAGGCCTCATGCTTTCCTTTGTTTGAAGGAGATGGGGCTCTGCCTCTGTCCTGTGCCCCCCACCCTGCTGTGACTCTGACTAGAGTTCTAAAGGAGAGGAGGTCATCACTACCTGCCTTAATGTCCCTTACCCCTTAAGATAAATTCTGCAGGGGACTGCCAGGTACCTGGCACACACAGAGGAAAGGTCATGGTATGCAATAGATTTTAGCCCTCTAACTTAAGGTGAGTCCAACAAAGTATGTTCTTTCCTCTCTATTCCTCTTCCAACTGTACAGGTGAAATCTACCTTATTTTTTTTTCCCCCTTTGAATTTACTTAGGAATTGCTTCCGGAGTGTGGGGACTTTGTTGTGGGCTTTTTGCTTTCTTTTTTTTAACAGTATGCTTTAATATTCTATATTAATATTCTCCTGAACCCAAAGAAAAGCTCTACCTCTGTCTGCTTTGACATACAAGTGAGATTTGAACCAAATCCTAAATTTGGTTTTGCAGAATCTCAGTCGCATGAAGTTTTTCTGGTGTTTGCTATCCACCACCATTTCTCTTTATTTGGGCAGAAATCATGTATTTCAGATAATTGATTCCATAAAGGGCTTTTGTACAAGCTGCTGTACAAAATAAATGTGTCATGCTGTTTCTTCAGCTGTGCAGTACTATGCATTTTTCCTTTCTAAACAGCAACCAGCCCAAAAGGGAAGGAAGATATTCTTTCGTAGTTGTGTCCCTCTGGCCTCTCCCTTCCTCTAAACAAGATTTTCTGCAGCATAAGAGCTGAAATGTGGCTTCTTGTGCATATCTGTCATTGCATGTTTACTTAAACTCTAGATGTATGCTGCTAGATGGAGGTCAGTGGCAAGGAGCACGATCATGCACAGCTGATTGGCTATACAAGCAGTTTTGCCAGATAGTACCTATGAAGTGGCATCTATTCCCAGTGAAAAACTTTGCAGCCCATGCTGAAGGCTCCAGCTGATGCTGTATAGAAGCAGGCTGTAATTCAGAGGGACATTTATACTTGTGCTGGCTCAGTTCACGCCTGTGTCTCTTGACAAAGCACTGCCTCAGATTCTCAGGGCGCTGTGCACATAAATGGTGTCTTTGGTGAGGAATCTCTGTGGCCTGTAACTTAAGAATCACCTTTTTTTTCCTACTCAGGAAACAGTAAAAAACCATAAACAAAACCCCTGAGAAACCAAGGGGTTTTAATGACATGTGTAGATATGTGATTTTTGTCACTGAATTTTGTCACAGATAAAAATTGTCTAGATATGTCACTCTGGGGAAGGTGGAGCCTGGATTTTGAGGAAAGAAAGAGGAAGACTGGTTTCCAAGGTGATGGAGAAAATCTACAGCAAATTCAACGTCAGTATCTTAACAAAAATAGCGTATGTATGTTCTCCAAACAAAGCAGAATCTGAGCTACAAAAACGATCAGTAGAAAAATAAAAGGATAAGGAAATGAATTTATTTTAAAATAAGTGAATCTAAGGTCCTGGAGGAAAAAAGAAAGCAAACTTTTGAGCCAAGAGATGACTTAAAAGTATAACCTGTATATCAAGTTGTGAGAAAACTCCCATCACTTGACAATATATGGGCCTAGAAGAGCTAGTTTCAGTGGGTAGCAGGTTCATGATGCACTGTGATCAGCAAATCAAAATGTAAGATAGAGTAATTCAAAACCCTAAGGCTTTTGTTATAAGAAGGGATATTGACCAGGTTTCAGAAAGTGTCACTTCTAGTGGATCCAACATAACTTGTGTTCAGTGCAACTGTGACTGAAAAATCCATCTTTTCCTGGTTTTCTGTCCAATTCATGCTTTTCAGAGTGAAAAATACCACCTGAGGAATGCAGTAGCTGGATTAATAGAATTACATATGAGTATTTCCTCTAAAAAAAGCAGATCTCTCTATAATTTTGAATTTCCTGCATGAATGAGTCAGTGTGTGTTTTTCATGTTGGATTACACCATCCACCCATCTTGGCCCTGGTGAGATGGTATTGCATTAGTGGGAAGGCACCTAGAGACCCTTCAGAGAATGTGATGAGGCCAAAAATTGTCTGGATCCTCATGTTTCAGGCAGGAAAATAATGTTCCTGCTTGCACTTGTAGCATTTTCCTGGGTATTTCTTCAAAGTTAAGGATAGAAACAATCCCCTTAAGGAGCTATATGAAGTGAGAATGTTAGTTATGTTACTGTTGGAAAAAACCAAGCCAAGGGAGAGTTAAGGGATGCCAGAAGTTACTTCTTGTAAAATCTGAAAAAAATCTCAGGAGTTAAGGGATGCCAGAAGTTACTTCTTATAAAATCTGAAAAAAATCTCAGTTTTTTTTTTTACTGTCTTATGCAGAAAAGAATTATTTTATTCCCTTGTTGAAATAGGTGCAGGGCATCTACTAGGCTTCCTCTGCTACCCAATGAACTTCAGGTTGCAGCATTGGCATTCACATGTGCTTTTTTTTTCATAGAAGAGAGACAAATTAGGAGCAAATCAAAGGTATTTATGATCTCATGCAAGTCCACTGCAGAAAGGGATGAAGAATATGAGGTCATCTCCCTTTTCTGTGTGCCACCTCATGAAACAGGCAAGTTTGGGCCTGGCTTTAGATGGGCATTCTACGTCCTTATCTATCTCTGTGTGCATCTAAGATCATGCAATAAAGCAGTGACAGTCCATGTACTTGACCACTTACAGATATTTCCTAAAACATCTCCTGGCTACTATGCCAGTAGGAATGGGAAAAACAGAAGGTAACTGAACAGTGAAAGTGTCTTACATTACAAGCAGACAAAGCATACTCTGGACCAGAGAATCACTTTGTTTGGCATGGACATACTGAAGTGAGGCCACTAAAATGATTTGGGGGTTGGAATATATCACACACCAGGAACTGGGATTTTTTTTATCCTTGAAAAGAGGTTTCGGAGTGGAATCAATGTGTATAAACACCTGTTGGAAGGGAGTGAAAAAATGGAGCCAGACTCTTCTCAGTGGGACCCACTGACAGGAAAAGAGATAACAGGTACAAATTGGAACACATGAAATTACATTTAAATGTGAGAAAAAAACATTTTTATGTTGCATGTGTTAACATTGTTGCATGTGTTAAACACTGGAACAGGTTGTCCAGGGAAGTTGTGGACTCTGTCTCTGAAGATGTTCAAAACCCTCCTTGGCACAACCCTGAGAAACATGCTTTAGTTCACCCTGTTCTGAGTGGGGAGACTG